TGCACATATCTGTGACGATACCAAAACCCACCGCATCGTACACTTCAGATAGGCGAAGCATATGATGTGTGAATGATATCTCACTAAGAATTACAAAACAACAGCAATAACAACAAAAAGACCCAGACGCAAGGAGGGCTGTTGGGGTCCTGGAGATAAAGTCACCTTGGAAAAGGGACAGGGTCAGTGGCCTGGCTGGAGGAAGGGGAGGTGGCACTGGGTGGGATGGGGGAGGGCAGCAGAAATGAAAATCTGCCTTGGTCCAGTCGTCCTGGTTTGTGTCCTGGGATTTTGTATGTGCTGAATTATATTTAAAAAATTATTTTAGGAACAGAGTGCAGTGGCTATTCACAAGCATGATCATAGCGTACTACAGCCTGGAACTCTTGGGCTCAAGCAATCCTCCTGCCTCAGCCTCCTGAGTAGCTGGGACTACAGGTGGGCTCCACCATGCCCAGCTGATTTTTAAAAATTTTTTTGTAGAAACAAGATCTTGCTGTTGCCCAGGCTGGTCTCAAACTCCTGGCCTCAAGCAATCCTCTAGCCTTAGCCCAGGTGTGAGCCACTGCACCCAGCCTGTGCCGCCTGTTAGTGTTTTTGCTCACTGTTATGTCCCCAGCACCTTGAATAGTGTCAGACACATAGTGAGCAATCAATAAATGTATTTAAAATATTGTTTTTTCAAATTCTAACTGAAATGTCACCGTTTCTGTGAAAGCTTTCTTTTTTTCTCCTTCGTCCATATCTCTGTCTAGCTTTTTCATGGCATTTATCACCCTTTGCCTTGTATAGTTATTTGCATAAATGTTTTGCTCCATTTTAGATTGTAATTTCCTTGGGGTATGGACTGCATCCTTTCTCATCATTTCTTACATGTCGTTGCTTTGCAAATTCACTCAATAAATTAGTGAATTTGTCACAACTCATGTATTTTTTTTGCCCAATTTAATAAATAAATATACACCCATTTCTTTAACAAAATATGTTTTTTGTTATGATGTACCAGGCACATGCTTGGCCCTGGACTAGAGAGAGGAGCCATTCAATCCCTGACCTGAGGCATCTCATGGTATAAAGGAAGTGAGACATATAAACAAATCAGGTCAACAAAGTACTATGAATAAATGCCAGACAGAGTATTATGAGGGTGGATTTTGATAACTTTTACTAAATATTTTCTTTTTTCTTTTCTTTTCCTTTTTTTCCTATTAGGTCAGTTTAGCCAGATTATTTTTCTTTGTATTTATTTTATTTTTATTTTTTGTGTGTGTGTGTGTGTTTTTTGTAGAGACAGGGTCTCACTATGTTGCTCAGGATGGTTTTGGTCTCCTGGCCTCAATTGATCCTCCTGCCTCTGCTTCCCAAAGTGCTGGGATTACAGGTACAACCCACCGTACCTGGCACTTACTAAATATTTTCTTGGTTTTATTTACAAAAAGGCCTTTTATAGCCTAAGCCTCCAATGGTAAAGTAAGCAAGGTAGTCTGATAAAGTACTTTAAAATATTTTTCAATATAGAGAATTTTAACATCTCTTTCTAAACACGCACACAAAGATCGTATTGTATGTATGACATATATCACTTTCTTTGGATTTTTAGATTATATGTTTCTTTATATTTAAAAAATAATTTCCACTTAAATCAGTGTACACAAGGAGCTCCTTGTGTGGGGCTCCACACAGTGGGGCTCCTTTTAGTTTTCTAAAAGACTGTAAAATATCTCAGACTCCCTAATTAAATTATTTTGGCTCCATTGCAAATCTGTTCGTGAAGATTTGACAAGTATGGTATTTTGTTATAGGCTAATGGAAGAACGGAGAGAAAGAATAAATAACTTCCTGAGTGAACTAATGAAAGAGAAACTTGACAATGAAGATTTGATTATTGCTAGAGATATTGCAGAAGCTGAGGCTGAATGGGAAAAAAGAGAAGGAGAAAAATACGAAAAAAACAAAGCAGAATTAAAAGCGATTGCGGAATACAGAGCCACTGTGGTAAACAATTTAATTATGACAAATAAAAACCGAAAGACAAATTTAAGACATTTCCACTGTGGTTTCCACCCCCTCTGCTTCTCTAACTAAAAACTGAAAGAGATGTGAAAACAATGTATGAATTATCTTTTTATATTTTTGAAATTGGATGTTTACTTCCTCCTCCCCCCCAATATAGGGTCTCACTCTGTCGCCCAGGCTAGAGTGCAGTGGTGCAATTATAGCTCACTGCAGCCTTAAACTCCTGGGCTCAAGCAATCCTTCTGCCTCAGTCTTCCCAG